CCATGATCATCATCACAGAGCGAGTCTATGCTTGGTACACCAACATCACAATCAACATCACTGATGGATCCTACACACTTAAAATTTTTCACCGAGATTCCAACAGCCGAGCAGTTCTGCAATTTATTTTGCTGAGATTCAGTAAAACATTTGCCGAGACTCAGCTAACAAATAACATGTTGCTGAGATATCAGCTAACAAACAGATATTTTGCAGAGATATCAGCAAGAGCAAATGCCGAGGTAATCGGCTGTTGGAGATTTTACCGAGCTAGATTAAGTGTGTAACGATGATACAAGACGACAAGCCGATGGCCATGAGACTACCACAATTCTACAAACATATTTGCGTCCTGCACTGCCAGTTCTAGGACACCTCGTTGGAGTTACAAACCGCTTTCGAGTCAACATCGGTAGGAAATTGAATGATTTTTGTAAAAATCATGTGTTATCTTCAATGAGATACAGTACAGCCAACAATCAATACGAAACTGACGATTTTAAATTGGCTCACTACTTGACTATCCTATTGGTCCCAAGAAAACGATTAACGTACCTCATTCTAGTCAAAATTCTAGTACTACACAATATTTCTTTTGATTCGCTAAGAAAGTTTGACAGCTAAAATTGAGCGTTCGAGGATTTTCCTATGTTTCGAGGGGTGCATCGATTAGTTTGGGACCGAAGATAGTACCAGAGCTGAGCCAAAAAGTTGAGCACGTTTCTTCGGGACTTTCTGGTCTAAAAGTTACCTCTATGGTACAGCCAACCGGTGGAAACTAACAATTTTAAATTGGGTTGTTCACCTGATAGACCTTCGTTTTCTGAGCATAACGATATTTTTATCGATCCCGTAGACGTTCATCTCGATTTTTAAATCAAGATTTAAATTTTTGACCGTTGTCACTAAATCTATTTGTTGACAGCTCACTCCCATACAAAATCCCACCAAGGGGCGCTAAGACGGTGATTTTTGCTAATGTAATCGTACTTGTTTAAAATAGTTCCAGTGTACCAAAATTGATAAAATTTTGGATTTCGGTTCCATTTTTAGTGCAGATAACGAATATATCTAGATAGAGCTGGAATTAATGCGTTACAGCTTTTGTAAACAATGACTTCTTTCGATGATTTCTAGAAAGTTAAGGCTCGCCAACGCAAATCAACAACACCATCGGGTAGGGGACGACTGCCCTTACCCGATGGTTATGATGGTTTACGTGGGAATGCCTTGAGTTCCTAGAAATCATATTTAAAAGGCATTGTTTACAAAGGCTGTTACGCCCTAATTCCAGCTCTATCTAGATATATTAACATCAATACCGTTAAACAACCCAATTGGCTCACTATTTGACTATCCTATTGGTACCAAGCAAACGATTAACCTACCCCGTTCTAGTCAAAATTCTAGTACTACATAATCGAATAACGTACCCCATTCTCGTAGAAATTCTGATTGTTTTGATTCGCTATGAAAGTTTGACAGATAAAATGAGGGGTTCGTGGATTTTCCTATGTTTCGAGGGGTGCATCGATTAGCTTGGGACCGAGCTTAGGACCAAATATAGTACCAGAGCTGAGCCAAAAAGTTGAGCACGTTCCATCGGGACCTTCTGGTCTTAGAGTTATCTATATGCTACTACCATAGAGGTAACTCTAAGACCAGAAGGTCCCGAAGAAACGTGCGCAACTATTTGGCTCAGCTCTGGTACTATCGTCGGTCCCAAGCTAATCGATGCACGCCTCGAAACATAGGTAAATCCACGAACCCCTCATTTTATCTGTCAGACTTTCATAGAGAATCAAAACAATCATAGTGTAGTACTAGAATGTCTACGAGAATTGTGTCGTTTAATCGATTGTGTAGTACTAGAATTTTGACTAGAATGGGGAACGTTAATCGTTTGCTTGGGACCAATAGGATAGTCAAGTAGTGAGCCAATTTAAAATCGTTAGTTTCCACCGGTTGGTACTAGCAACAATCAATACGAAACTAACGATTTCAAATTGGCTCACTACTTGACTAGCCTATTGGTCCCAAGCAAATCGAATAACGTACCCCATTCTAGTATAAATTCCAGTAATACACTATGTTTGTTTTGATTCGATATGAAAGTTTGACAGATAAAATGAGGGGTTAGTGGATTTTCCTAAGTTTTGATGGGTGAATCGATTAGCTTGGGACCGAAGATAGTACCAGAGCTGAGCCAAAAAGTTGAGCTCGTTTCTTCGGGACCTTCTGGTCTTAGAGTTACCTCTATGGTACTAGTGAGTATACGGAAAGGAAACCGAATTCCAAGGATGTTCCCAAAATAATTCTGAGAATGATTCCTAGAGAATAAAATAACATGGTATTTATAAAAGGAGCTCTGAATTGCAATTTGAAAGAAAACAAAACCTGGAGAGTTCTACGAAGATTTATAGAGTTGTTTTGAAAATAATTTAAAGGGAGTTAGAAAGTATTGTGTGTGCAAAATATTTAAAAAAAGGAGAGACTTCAGATGTATTTTTTGTTCAGAATATGTAAAAAAGGAGGGACTTAGGATGTTAATCTAACTGCATATATAGAGGTACCATACAATTTCTGAACGCACTGCCCTCTGTTAACAATTAACGGAACTAAGTGTATGCGTAATTTCTGATAGATGTCACCATTAAAAAACAGCATCTTAAGTCTATATGTTTAGTATTACTTCTGCGTGAAGTCAACGATTTACATAGTTGAAGATGCTAATTTCAAATAACAGACTGTAGTGGTAATTTTTATACGATAGATGGAGTAGATGAAAGCATAGAGTTGATAGTTCCGTTAGAGTACGGCAGTGTGAAAATTGCATGTAGATAGTAGAATAGCGAGCTAGGACAACTTTTTAAGGAAGGTACAAATCGGTTTTTTCATCTCTCTTTTCGAAACTCCCCCTTTGGAAATGGATGGTGAGGGGTGTGTCCTGAATATTTTTGTTTCATTTCCTTATATTTAATTGTTTTTATTAAGCTGCTTAATTGCGTTTTTTTTCGGAGCTGTACATCACTGATTTTTTTCTTCAATTTCACAGGTTATTTAAAAATTCCAAGTAATAATTATATTTTGCACAAGGCGTGGATAGAAAAAAATGTGTCGCTTTGTCCAGAATGTAGAAATTTTATCAATGTCTGGGACCTCGAAATTTTACTAGTTATGATTTGTTAGCTGAGATCTTAAAAATAAATCCAGATCTGAATTCATCATAAGTTTAGGGGCTGTTCATAAACTACGTAGACAGTTTAGGGGGGTGGCAATCATCCACGGCCCTTACAAATTTAATTTCTACCCTTAGAGTTTTTAAACTTTCAAATGTTTTGGTATTTATAAAATTTAAAAAAGAGTCCGAAGTCTTGGATAAATGACAGCACCTACATGTCCTGAAATTTTTATCAAGTCCGGGACATTAACTCTGGGTCTTATCATTATTTTTATTAAGCTACATAATTCCTCAAATTTGTCGAAGTTGTATCTTTAGAAATACTTTAATGTTAAACAAAAATCAAATATTGTAAAGTTCTGACCCTTTTACAGAAGTGCAGTGGTTCATCAATAATGAGTTTATCTAGAAATGCTTCTTAAATGATAAATTTTGAAAACCCTTACTATAGGACTCACGGTAAAAAGCTCTGCGAAACTCGATGAACATTTCAAATTGTCCTATCTGCTTTGAACGATTCTCTTCATCGACTTTCTCTTTTGATAACCACTGCTATGCAAACAGGTTTTGCGCTATTTCCACCTCATAGTTTGTTAAAGTGGTTCTTATCTAGCATCCAAAACGTTAAATACAACAGGGAAAGGTTGTGCAGCTGAGTTATTAACGAAAGAGAAAGTCGAAAAAGAGAATCGATCAATGCAGATAGGACCTTTTGAAATGTTTATCTACATTTGAAGATTCTAACAAATTTTTATTTTATAACATTTCAGGGTAAACAATGACTTGGATCGTCGGTTTCTTACGAATGACAACACACCCACTCAAACTAACTAAACCATCTGACAGAGCAATGTTTGTTCTATGAGCTGGTTTAGTCAGATTCCGTGGGTGTGTGGTCATTCAAGAGAAATCGACTTCTGACATGTTTTCACTGATTTAAAATAAATCCCGAGTGGGATTTCAAGGAAAATCAAGCACATGAAAAACGTTAAGATTCCACTCACATACAAAAAAAAATGATCCGGAGCAAAAGCTAAAAAAAAACTAGGTATTTTCATCCGTGTACAATGGCTAATAATGGGATTAAAAATGACCGCTCGAACCGTCACCGTCCTTGGCTAACGGTATACTGTTTTCAAATATCAGTATGTTGCGGTGCTCGCCGTACCCCTTGTACCGTAATCGGCACTCTTCGCCAATGTCGTGTGGATCTTGAATGAAAATCCATCATTGAACGCACTCGTTGCCCGTCTGACGTGAAAACGGCCCGTCGCGTCAAAACAGAGCAACCGTAACCGAACGGATCGAATTTGCACACGCACACATCTACACACATTCGTTTTTTTGCTTTTGTTTTCCTCGAACGAATGAGTCAAACCGCAGCCGAACGGAATAATGCATGAATGGATGCGAACGAACACTGCTCACTACTCTTGGTAATTTTTTTCCCATCGCGGTTTTGACTGTGTGTGCGTGTGTGTTTGGCATTCGTTCGAGATGTGTCATTTCAGCACACCACCACCAAGGTGACATCGTGGGAGTGTTGGAAGGTTGGACGATTCGGTTGAAGGTGCTATTTTGGTTTTTTATTTAAAAGGCGGTGCATGTTCTCTGTTTGGTAAAGTCATCACTTCATCAGTAGATTTCATAAGCAGCTGTTGAAACTTTTTAAACGAATGATTCAATCAATTTAATCAAGAAAAAAGTATGTTTGTGTTTAATACGCTGCACCAACGTTTTCTGTCCCAGCAAGTTTGGCAACACGGTCCCGTCGCGAGAAGGAATCTAGCTGGCTTTGGCCTACACACAGTCGCGCTAGCAGAATAAGTTATTGATTTGCCATAGAGCTGACCGGAGTTGTCGTAGACGTAGGGAAACGATAGCTACAGTGGCAGCCCAAGGGAGAAAAAACGGGAAAAAGTAGTGATTTTTCGTTCGTTCGATCGTGAAAATGAATTAACAGTGGCAGAAACACATAGCAGCACCAGCAGCAGCGATATTGAAGGCAATCGCAACCCCGAGGACGGAACGCGGCGGCGGTGGGTGTGTTTGTTCGCGTCGCGATTTGCGGAAAAAATCTCGGAGAAAGGCCTACCATTCCACTACTGTTTCTCGTTATCATCATCCCTGGTGTCGGTCGTCGTAACACACACGGGGCGGATACGGGCTGGAATCGGAATCCAAGGCAAGAGAGAACCGTCAGCTAGTGGGCAGTGGAGGAGGCCTCTTTTCCCGTCGTGCCGTTTGTTGTCAGGTTCAGAGGCGAAGAGGAAAGTGTTGGCCACGGTTAGCCATTTCGATTTGCGATAAGTAGTTTACGTGATAAGGTCCGCGATTCGGATTGGTGGCTGCCTCGTCGAAACGAAAATTATTGCTACTGGCTGGAAGAAGCAGGAGCGGATCCGTGCCAAGTGTCAGATTGAATAGATGAAAAAAAAGTGCATGTTTTACGTGTGTGTTGTGTTGGAGAAAATTTGACGGAAAGCGAAAATCGATCCTCTTAAGGGTAGAAGGAGCTCTGGAGCTTCCGGGTGGAATGTGGAAATCTTCCGAATTCCTAGTGTTGTTCTAAAAAAAAAATTCAAAGGAAAAAAAGGTTCCTCCCCTAAATGGTGGAAGCAATAGTAAAGTCGATGAAAAAAAAAATCCAATAAAAAAGAGCTGTGTTAGTTTTGCGTGGTGAGAAGAAAGTGTGAAAGAAAGCAGCACTAGCGAAAAAAAAAGTAAAGTTTCACTTCCCTTCGATGGAAATGTAAAGAAGGAAAAGAAGAAAAAGAAATACGAAGCATCAGCAAAAAAAAAAAATACCAAACATTGGAAGCGATATCCTCTTCGGACGAGACGGCGGCTGCGGCTCTGATTGTTGACCAAAACTGACACGGACGGAGTCTGGACCGACCGGAATCAGCAGAGAGGTGAAAAATTATGGCCTCCGGCGATACGGCAGCGATCGACACGATTGACGTGGAGTCAGCGCTGTCCACCAAGAACTCGGAATACACGACGAGCAGTAGCAACTACAACAAGGATCAGCTGCTGCACGAGCAGGATGAATACGGTGGGTTATGGTGGATTCTATTTGTAGATGATACGATTTCTTTTTCTTCTCTTGTGTGAGCTTCGGTGTGTACGACCGGAGAATAGTGTGTGTTGTTCCCGGAAGGATGACGAGAGCGGTGCACGGCGGCAGATCCAATTATTGTTTGGTAATTTGAAACCTCACAGGGGAAGATATAAGCGGAGGTAGACCAAACGAACTGTCGGAAGATTCTGTCATGGTTGGGAGCTGATTTGCTCCTAGGTACTAGGTTTTGGTCGGAAATTTTCGGAAAATGGGTGAGCTTTTCTTCTCTAGTAGAAACTTGTACAGATTGCTTGGTATGCACCTGTTGATGTTGAATATTGGAATTTCGACCACGATCGGAATTTTGCATTTTAGGAATTTTATTAAATTACTATTACTGGTATTTTTGTGAGGTTTTGTCGCCCATGAAATATTCAATTTATGTAACTTTAAAAAAGATAATCCATCCGTCCTACATATTTAAAAAATAATAAGCAAGTTGTAGACAAATTTATGTAAATCAACTTTGCTATAGACACCAATTTTCATGTTTTACTGCTTTTTTTTTTAAATAAATCTATGAAAACTCGTTTTAATAAATGGGTTTTTTTATATATTAATTTCTCTCAAGTCATTTATTTTAGGCATGCAAGTTTTTGTAAGTTAATACATATTATATGATTTTGTTGTAAAGTTATAAACGATTGCATTTGTAAAATGCGCCGTTTCCAAAATTTAATTAAATTAGTTTGCAATTTGTAAAAAAAATGGGCCTCAAATAGCCTGATAAATGTAGACGCAATTCACATTGTTTTCATCTTAGAATTCTCTAAAAATTTAGAGCTTTATAGAATTATTTAGTATTTGTTTCCCTCCGATATTCTCCACAGAATATCTTTGAAATTATATTCAGAATTTGCTTTCAATTCTTCTCTCTCAGAATTCCCTTGGATATCTTCTCCGAATTTTACAGGAATTCGATTCAGAATTACTCTGAAATTCTAGTCAAAACTTCCTTGAAATTTTCCCCAGAATTCTTTTGCTATTATCATTAGCATTTTGAGCTTGACATTTTGTTTTCGATATCCTGTGATATTTTTGACAGGTACACCGGACTTGGAAAAATCAATGAACAACAATTTTTAGTGCTGCAGGTGAATAACATATCAGCGAGCTTGCAACTCCGAGGTGATCGACGGTATGAAAGACACTGCCATTAAAAGTCGTAGAAGACCGTACAAGAAATATGTCCCTAACCCATAACATTCTCCTCTAGAATTCTAATTCAATTCATCTCATATTTACTTAGGAACGATTCAAGAAATTCCTGCTCTGAAATTTATTTAAATTCTCCTTAGAATGTCTTTGTAAATATTCTTAAAATTTTATTTCTTTGGAAATCTCCCCAATGATATTTTGCAACTATCCTCAGCATTCGATTTTTTTCTCCTTGATTTGTTTTCCGTACTGAGTACCAATTCTGCCGACGAGGGAGGCAGCTCCCATACCTGAACCCTACCTTTCGACCCATCAACTCATGGATCGGGGACCAAGAGCTATACTTCCCTTCAGGAGGAAGGCGTGATCAGAGATTGTATGCCTTAGATTGTTTCTCAAAAAATCTTTGGATTCCTTAGTATTCCTTAGGATTCCATTGAATTTTCCTCAGAAGTCCATTGGAATTGTCTTTCAAAATCACGTAAGATACTCTTCACATGGAATTATTCTTTGAACTAGCTTGAAATTCTCTTCAGAGTTCACCAAAAGTTTACTCTATTATTTACTAGAAATTCTTCGTTGTTCAGAATCACAAATTTAGAATTACTTTTTCGGAGTAATGGAGATGAACCTGGCTGAAAGTCTTCCGAATAAAGAATACCAAATCAACTTACTATTTATTTCTTGATATTTTCCTCGGTATTCCCTTGGAATTATTAAATTTTCCTTTATTTTTTTCCAAAGTTATTATTTAATTCATCACATAATTCATTCAAAATGATCCCAGAAATTTGTTTGGAATTCTCTTCACAATCTCCGTGAAATTCACTTCATAATAATCTTGCAATTCTACTTAGAGCTAACTGGGAATTCTGCTTAAAATGTACTAGGAGCAAGTATTACAATTGCCAGGGAATGTTCAGAATTACTATTGTATTCTAGTTAGAACTTTCTTAGACGTATTCTTCAATTTTCCAAGGAATGGTTTTTAAAATTCTGAAGGAATTTTTACCTTTAAATACTCATCTTAAAAGCGTCAGAATCAGAGTTGTTAATCGATTGTCGTCGATAATTTAGAATTCACCATTGCAGACTTATCGACGGTTAGACCCTCAGGGTGACCACTGAACCGTAAAACCGAAAGATCCGGAAATTAACTGGGAATCGCGAACAACCGGGAAATAACAGGGAATTTGATTGCGTCCTTAAAATATTTTGTTTATTTAATTTAATCTTAATTTATTTTAACAATTTATCTAGGTCTAGAGTTTTTGATATTCTTTAATAGTTCAAGATCTTGATGATTTTTTGAAGTGCCAAGATGCCAAGATCTGATAAGACCCAGAATTCTGAAAAATTGGTAAAGTTAAAGTCCAAGATATGTTTTTCTTTTTTGATCATATAATTGTTTCTATATCCAGGATATGCAATTAAAGTCATGAGGATTGAAGACCATACAAAATTGTCTTAGTCCATGATGTCTTAGATCTTGGAAAAGAAATCCTTAGTCCCAATTTTTTTTAAATGGTTCGAAGATACGAATCTTGAAATTGTTTCCAAACTCATAGAATGGAAAAATTTTCTATCTTTTAAATCTAATATTAAAATCAAAGTAGTTATAACATTTGTTGAAAATCTCGCATATGCTAGTTAACGGCTCATCAGCGCCGTAGTTTGTGTGAGAAGCCGGGATGTTGAAAAAATAATAAGAACGTAAATTTACGCGTCTAATATTGACATTCAACTGCTGCAGAAGTGAACAGCAATTATTGTCCGATCGTAGGAGATCAGCGATGAAGGTAGCCTTAGAGACGCCTCGGCGAACTCTAAGTAATTGTAGGGACATCAAATTACAATGACTGTCATAAGTAGGGAGATTGAAAGGATCACTCCAGGGTAGCCAACGAAGGGCGAAACGTACAAATCTTCGCTGAATGGCCTCAATACGATTCACCTCGTTGCTGTAAAAAGGAGCTCATACTACGGAACAGTACTCCATATCTGATTCTTCTTGATCCATGTTGTACATGGTTGAAGGTAAACCCGATTCCTTCCGTTGATCGTTCACATGATTCCAGAAGCTCTTGTGATTTGCTTGGAGTTTAGTTTGTAGATGGCGCTGATGGACTTGATAAAGCTGTTTGTTGAGCAGCTTATACTGTTTGTTAACGAGGTTCCCCTAATAATTTCGTCGGAATCCTCCATAGTATTGCTTTTATATCAGGGTGTCTACTACCTTTAAAAATCGGAATTTTATTTTACCAGAATAAACCAGGTATTGACTGGAATTTTTATATCTACTATCAAGCAATTCTTAAGAATATGAATAGAATATATTTAAGTACGCCAAGGAATTTCAAAACATTTTATAATGCAACCAACATTATTTTCCTCGTTATTCACTTTTACTCATTGAACATAATAATTCTGGAGTGGATTATCTTCAGTAACAGCGTTCTGAAACTTGAATTGATTTTTTTGGGTTCTCAGACATGCATAATTTATAAAAAAATTAAACTTAGAACATAAAAAAACCCTGGATCTAATAAAATCCCAGTTGTCAGGAAATGCTATACTTATATCAATATAAAGTTTTAGTGCGATAATTTATTAGCCAGAGAAAGTTCTGAAGAGGAAAGATTGATAGTTCCGCTAGAGTATGGCAGTGTGAAAATTGAATAGAAGTTGAAATTTAGCGAAAGGCCATTTCTAGATAGAGCTGGAATGAGGGCGTAACAGCTTTTGTAAACAATCACTTATTCCGATGATTTTTAGAAAGTTAAGGCTCGCCAAGGCAATTCAACAACACCATCCGGGTAGCTGACGACTTCCCCTACCCGCCGGTAATGATGGTTTGCGTGGGCATGCCTTGAATTCCTAGAAATCATCGACAAAAGTAATTGTTTACAAAGGCTGTTACGCCCTAACTTCAGCTCTATCTAGATTAATGTGACAATACGAATCATACGTGCCCTTCTTTACTTAACTCATACATTAATTGATGAGGGGATTGTAGGTATGTTCAAAAATCTTCTCCGAAAATAAAAATGCAAGACATTGAATATTTTCAATTAACCGATTTGTTTTTAAATGTGAGACTGAATGAATTTGATGAGCATCTCCAAGGAACTCTAGGAATAATTTATGGGGAATTCAGAGGAGAATTTCAAAACTTGATGTGAAATCTGCGGACTCCTTTCAAGTTAGTTCTGTTGAATTCCAGATTCCAGGTTAAACGTAAGAAGAATTCCAGTGTTGTTCAGTGCAAAATATTAAGAGAATAATGAGTAGGATTCAAAGTAAATTTCCAACGTAATTCTGAGGAGGATCGCAAGGTAATTTCCTAGAGAATGCAAAGAGAGTTCTGACTAAAATTATATAGTAATTTTGAGGAGAATTCTAAGAGATTTGTAGGGAGAACTCCAAGGTTCTTGTGAGTGGAATTATAAGAGAAGAAGAAGAGTGCAAACGGAATTCTGATTTTTTTGTAAATTGTATGCAATCATAAGCATAGGGGAATGCCATCATTACATCGATTTATTGCATATAGGATTGAAATCGGACCTCTGACGGATATCCGGAATCATCGACAAAATGGTCATTCAGGAGTTGACCTAGATCTAAATAGCATACAATCATGAGCATAGAGGAAATATATCATGACCATATCAACTTCTTTGCTGGGTAGCCAAAAGATCCTCTGGGTATCCGGAATCATCGGGAAAAAGGTCAATTCCTGAAAGTAGACCTACACAGCAAAAAAATAATTTTGATAT